GGGACGTCACAGGTGTTGAAAGACCCGGCGCCTTTCCAAGCCGCTCTGCTCTCAACGCCCGGTGTCACTGCGCCGGGGGAAGGCTGGGACTGCAGAAGAAACCAGAGAAACCGTGGATGCTTCAGCCACGTCACAGCAGAATAAATCACTGGGGCTTCGCTGCTTTTTAAGAGCTCCCGAGTAAACAGCAGAGCTCAATAAAAGGCTCCTGTTGCCGTTGGCATCATTAATAAGCAGCGGACTTTGGAGCCAGCGGCCAAAGGTTGGCTCGCGCCCGTTTGCGCTGCAGGTTACGCGCACGCCCGAGCGCCCCGAGGTGCCGGTAAATTCCCAGCGCCTTCTGTAGGGTCCAACCCGGGACCTGCTGGGAGGCTTCGCGCCGGAGAACCACGTCACACAGGAGCATCCCTGAGGGGGGTGAGGGCCGTCAGGAGCTCCTCCAGCAGCTCCGCCGGCAGCCCGGCGTCCCCAGGCCACGGCGCAGCTCGGCGAGCACAAGCTGAAAATGGAAAGCCAGCAAGCACACCCAAGCAGAGCCTGCCATAAGCCCCAGGTGCTGCGGAGCGATGCGCAGCCCGGTTCCACGGGTTCCACGGGCTCCAGGCTCCTCCACGGCACCGCTGCTGCGTTTCACCGCAGAAAGCAGCGGGCGTTGAAGAACCCAGCGACAGAAAATGGCACGTAAAGAAGCAAGAGGGAACGCGCCAAGACCTGGCGTGGGGAGAGCGTGCCTGGAAAGCAAGATTGAAAAAAAAGTAGTAAGAGCCTTAAATTGAAACTAAAGGCTTTATATGGGGCATGAAGGGCCAGCTCAGGATGAGAGCTTTCCACGTCGTTAAGATGTCTGCTCAGAAATACTGTCCCAGCTGCAGGTTTTGCATGATTACAACAGTGTGACAACAGAGATGGGGACATGCAGCAGCAGGGCTCACTGTGTGCCCTGGGTGCCAAGAAGGCTGATGGGATCCTGGGGTGCATGAGGAAGAGTGTGGGCAGCAGGGCGAGGGAGGTTCTCCTCCCCCTCTGCTCTGCCCTGCGGAGGCCCCATCTGCAGTGCTGGGTCCAGTGCTGGGCTCCCCAGTTCAAGAAAGATGAAGAGCTACTGGA